CAAAGTTCAATATTGTACCTTGGACAAATCATTGATAATCAGGTGTTCTCAATTATGATAGTGTTTTGGGTTATTTCTCTATTGCTTATTTTTAATGTTGAAGTTAAACTTTTTTTCACAGTTAATTGGCAAGGCATTGTAGGAAGCATATTTATAAATGTTTTAAATAAGATACAGGCAATTTTTTTTTTTTTTTTTTTTTTTTAAAAAGCTACTTTTAATACTTTGGGGTAAGCCCCACAGGAATAAAAGACACTGGGAAGGGGTAACCCCCTCACCCCTGGGAGTGGCCCAGCGGGAGAGAGGCTACCTGAGGGGAAGGAAGCACAAGAGGGACCCGCTGCAGACTCAGGGCAAAGGGAATGCTATCGGTGCTGGGACCTGTGAGCACTGCAGGAGGAAAGGCGAGCGTGGTGGGACTGGCTCCAGGCACACAGGCGAAGGGCAAGAGGGTTGGACACGAAGCCACAAAACTACTTGGGTTCCTCCTTCTCATTTGCCTTTTTCTGCTTCTGCTACATGATCTCCGAGTCCCTCGGCTTGCGGGCGGCAGCAGAAAGCCCGTCATCTCGTCGCTCTGCTTTTTCATATTCTTCTGGCGGGCGAGCTCACGCTGGTTACCGCGGGTCATGGCGTCGGCAGCGGCTCCGACCTGCCTCCGTTACGTCCCCTCGTTCTGTCCCGCAAAATTCTTTTGTAAAGAAGTGTTTGGTTTCACAAAGTTAATTTCATGTTGGAGAATTCAAATTAATTTGGCTGTATAAGTTATTTACAATAAATAAATACATTTAAGGAGTATTTTTCGTACCATTCTACGTTATAGAAACAGTACTTAATTTTGTTATCACTTTAAAATATTCAGAAATGGTGTTCATGTAGCTTTCTTATGTTATCAGGATAAGCCTCTTAATCAGTTTTAGGTGTTGTGTTTCAAAAATATGTTCCTTGAATCATAATGGATGCTTGTTAAAAGAAGTCAAGTTAGGCCAGGCAGGGGGCTCATGCCTGTAATCCCAGCACTTTGGGAGGCCAAGGTGGGTGGATCATCTGAGGTCAGGAGTTCGAGACCAACCTGACCAACATGATGAAACCCCATCTCTACTAAAAATACAGAAATTAGCTGGCATGGTGGCAAGTGCCTGTAATCCCAGCTACTCAGGAGGCTGAGGCAGGAGAATCACTTGAACCCAAGAGGCGGAGGTTGCAGACAGCCGAAATGGCGCCGTTGCACTCCAGCCTGGACGACAAGAGTGAACCTCCATCTCAAAAAAAAGTCAAGTTAGAGATACACTAATTTTTTAGTAAGTAGATTTTATAGGTGCTTCATTTATAAGACAAAGTTTCTGTAATTGGTTTCTCATTATAATGCATTTCCTTGTTAGATTATTTTACCATCACCTTCCTCTTTTATAAAATTGGAAACAAGGTAGATCCTTTTTTATTAAAAAGAAGAATTAGGCTGGACACGGTGGCTCACACCTGTAATCCCAGCACTTTGGGAACCTGAGGCGGGAGGATCAGTTGAGCTCAGGAAACATAGTAAAACCGTATCTCTACAAAAAATAAAAATAAAAATTAGCCAGGTGTGGTGGTACATGCCTGTGGTCCCAGCTACTTGGGAAGCTAAGGTGGAAGTATCGTTTGAGCCCTGGAGGTTGAGGCTACAGTGAGCCATGATTGTGCCACTACACTCCAGCCTGGGTGACAGAGGAGACCTTATGTCTTGAGAAAATAAAAGAAAAAAAAAAAAGGAAAAATTAGTTTATGGAGAAGTAATCTCTCTGTTGGGGCTTTTGCATAATGCCATGCATGTTGTACCCTCTGCAAGGTTCACCTGGCTTAAGACAGTGAGTGGGGCCTGAAATTCAGCCCACATTCCATTCTTCTAGCTGTGTGCCTTGAATAGGGAACCATTCACCTAGAGGAAGATTTGCCTTTTTTCCAGCTCACACAGAGACACATTATGGGCTAGTGGCTGCATCTTTTCTTCTTCAGATGTGATAGAATACTGAACTCAGAACAAATTGTCTCAGCCTTCATCCTAAAAAACAGGAATTGGAGAGGTCATTTTTTTTTGCTAATCTCTTGAATGTGGCATGTGGGCATCATTGATTCAAATCCTTTGTACTTGCTCTTCTTTCTGCCTAATACTCTTTTCCCTCAGATATCATTCTTTCCCTCCCTGAGGTCTTTGCCCAACTGTAGCCTACCTTCTCCTTCAGGATTTCTCTGACCTCTGTATTTAAAATTGTAACCACTTTCCCTAACACTCTATTTCCCATTCCTCTTAATTTTTTAAAATTTCTTGGCCATTTGTATGTCTTCTTTTGAGCAATGTCTGTTCTGATAATTTGCCCATTTTGAAATTAGAGGGTTTTGGTTTGTTTGTTTTCCTGTTGAGATGCTTGAGTTCCTTTTGTATTATAGATGTTAATCCCCTGTCAGAGTAGTAGTTTGCATGTATTTTATCACATTCTGTAGATTGTCATTTCACTGTTGATTGTTTCCTTTGCTGTGCAGAAGCTTTTTAGTTTGATATAATTCCGTTTATTTTTGCTTTTGTTGCCTGAGTTTTTGAGGTCTCATTCATAAAATCTTTTCGCAGACCAATGTCGTGAAGTGTTTCATCTTTGTTTTCTCCTGGTAGTTTTATTGTTTCAGTTCTTACATTTAGGTCTTTGATCCATTTTGAGGGTGAGAGGTGGGAGTCTCGTTTCATTCTTCTGCATATAGATATATATTCAATTTCCTTTGTATCATTTATTGAAGAAACTGTCTTTCCCCCAGGAAGCGTTCTTGGCACCTTTGTCAAAAATCACTCCGCTGGGGTGGGCACGGTGGCTCATGCCTGTAATCTCAGGACTTTGGGAGGCCAAGGCAGGCAGATCACTTGAGGCCAGGAGTTTGAGACCAGCCTGGCAAACATGGTGAAATTCCATCTCTACTAAAAACACAAAAATTAGCCAAGTATGGTGGCACACCTCTGTAATCCTAGCTATTCAGGAGGCTGAGCACAAGAATCACTTGAATCTGGGAGATGGAGGTTGCAGTGACCCAAGAACACTCCTCTGCCCTCCAGCCTGGGTGACAGAGTAAGACTCTGTCTCCAAAAAAATACATATTAAAAAAAATTAGTTGGCTGTAAATATGTGAATTAATGTCCAGGTTCTCTATTCTGTTCCATTGATCTATGTGTCTTATTTTTATGCCAGTACCATGCGTTTTTGGTTACTACAACTTTGTAGTATATTTTGAGGTCTGTTAGTATTTTGCCTCCAGTTTTGTTCTTTTTGCTCAAGACTGTTTTGCCTATTTGGGGTCTTTTGTAGTTCCATACAACTTTTAGGATTATTTTATATTTCTGTGAAGGATTGGTATTTTGATAGAATTTATAGATTGCTTTGGGAGTAGTACTGTCATTTTAACAATACTAATTCTTCCTATCCATGAGTATGGGATGTCTATTTGTATTGTCTTCAACTTTTTTGTAAGTATTTTAATTTTATTTTTTGTAGCTATTGTGAATGAGATTACCATCTTGATTTCTTTTTCAGCTAATTTGTTGTTTTGTGTATAGAGATATTACTGATTTTTGTGTATTGATTTTGTACCTTGCAACTTTACTGAATTTATCAGTTCTAAGAGTTTTTTGGTAGAATCTTTAGTTTTTTCTATATATAAGATCCTGTTGTCTGCAAACAGGGACATTTGACTTCCTGTCTTCCAACATGGATGCCTTTTATTTCTTTCTCTTACCTAATTGCTCTGGCTAGGGCTTCCAGTACTATGTTGACTAAGAGTGGTGAGAGTGAGCATCCTTTTCTTGTTCCAGTTCTTAGAGGAAACGCTTTCAGCTTCTCCCCATTCAGTAAGATGTTAGCTGTGTATCGTGAGGTCTCATTTTACTTGGGGAAAAAGAGGTATAGTATTATGTGCTGTCTCATAGCGGCCAACATCTGATTTACTTAAGCCTGGATAACAATAGCATTTCCTGCTTAAGAGAGTTTATGGTCTAGTTGGAGAGAAAACAAGTCAATATCTTCATGACTTTATTATCTACAATACCTTTTAAATTAGACATTGAAAGTAAATAGGAAATCTTTATGCTAATAAAAATTTCCACCTTTGAGATATAGATTACAAATTTCATATCTGAGTCTTATTTTAAATGTTTTTTTGTAAGCTAAAATGTATAAATATTTTCTAACTTTTCTAATTATTAATGGTGTAATTTAGATTATACCATTTTACTTTTCTTTAGTTACTCAGATGAATATATCACCAAGATGAAGAACTTACAGCAGTAAATATAAGTAGATGTGAGAGCATAACTTTATCTGTTGTAGAACCTGCTGATTTTACCAGTCTTTTAAAGCCCATTTTTAATGGAGTATCCATTTGACTTCATGAATATTATATTTATTTGTGGTACTTGCAGGCTTGTGTATAATTATGACTAAAACAATACTAATTGTTTTTGTTTCTGCATATTCACTTAGCATTTATAGGTTTACATGATCTAGACTGACGAATTACATATTTTTATCTCCTGCAACTGACATGTAATTAACATAGTACTTCATAACTGCAGATATGCATAGGTAATGATAGTATTCAAGGTAAAAATGCAAAAAATAAATAAATAAAAGGAGTAATGATGTACATTCTTAGCTAATTTAGTCTGTTTAAGGGGAAACCTTACTGAAATAGCAGTTTAAGTTTTCGTTTTCATTGTGAATAATTAAAGAAGAGAACTTGTATTATTTCTGGTACCTTTCCATTTCTTTTATACAGTGCTGTTCGCAGAACTGTTTCATGATTTTAAGTGAACAAAATCAGACTTCAGAATAATATATAATATCCCGTTTTTAATGTATGTTTATGCTTTCTTAGAATATACACCAAAATTGTAACACTGGTTATCTTTGGGTGCATGCAAATACTTACAATAGCCTCTCTTTTATAAAGAACATTAATATTATTACTTTTTCCCTTTTCAGAATCTGATATCGATGCTGCTGCTGCAATGATGCTTTTAAATACTTCTATAGAACAAGGAATTTTAGAATGTAAGCAATTGTACCTTTTTAAAAAAAAATTTTTAATGCCTTTTCAAATTTAACCTAGACTATAAAATAACTATTACAAAATTACTTCTTTCCAACCAAATTTTATTTTGATCTAAGTAACTCAGTTTCTGTTTTATTATACTTTCATTAATTTATGTGAGCAATTGAGAGATTGAAGTTAATGCTGTGATTTTTCTTACATTGACCAAGAAATGAAGAAAAATATATTTAGAAAAATGAGCTCGAAGAGCTAAAAGTAAAAATGAAAACTATAAACAGGAAAATATAGTAAGTAAAGTATATTTATGAACTTGGACTAGGAAAAACTTTAAGATACAAAATGCAAAATCTATAAAGGAAAAAAATGGGTAAATTTAATAAAACATCAAAATTTTAGCATCTGGTCAGGCTTGGTGGCTCACGTCTGTAATCCTCGCACTTTTGGGAGGACAAGGCAGGTGGATCACTTGAGACCAGGAGTTCCAGACCAGCCTGGGCAACGTGGCAAAACTGTCTCTACAAGAAATACAAAAATTAGCCAGATGTGGTGGTGCATGCCTGTAGTCCCAGTGACTCAGGAGGCTGAAGTAGGAGAATTGCTTGAACCTGGGAGGTGGAGGTTGCAGTGAGCCATGGGCACGCCACTGCACTCCACTCCAGCCTGGGTGACAGAGTGAGACTCTGTCTCAAAAAAAAAAAAAAAAGAAGAAAGCATCTGACAACAAAATATGTCTGAGAAAAGTGACATAAAATGCTGGAGACATGTTTTTTCTTTATATAACAAAGGATTAATATCAAGTATATACATAAAAGGATTCTACAAGTAAGAAATAAGAAAACAGTTCAACCGAAAAGTCAGCAAAATGTATGACTAGGTGGATCTTAGAAGAGGAAATATATGTGGGCAATACACATGTGAAAAGATGGGCAACTTCTCTAGAAATTGGGGAAACACAAAATGAAATAATACTGAGATAACTTTTTTGTCCATAAAATTATAAAAAATTTAAGTAATTGAGAATGGTGTTAAATAGGGAATAAGCTCTATCATACACTGTTGGGAGTAAAATCACTTTGGATGGCAATTTGAGAATACCAATTATAATTTTAAATGTGTATATCCCTTAGCAATTTTTTCATATCTCTTTTTAAAAATTACTTGCATATATTCAAGAAAAGGCATCCAGAAGGATTTGTATTGTGGCATGATTTATACTAATGAAAAATTGGAAACAGGCTAAATATTAACACAGAAGTGATTAAACAGTGGTACATTCATATTGAGGCATTCTTTGTAAGCAATTCAAAATATATGTTCTATGGAAAAGTCAAGACATTGTTAAATTTTTTTTTTTAATGTTTCAGATTAATGCTTGCAGAATGATGTGATCTGGGTAAAAAAATAAAAAATCTACAAAGCATCATTAATCTAAAACATTTACTGCTCAAGAGTAATGTAGTAGTTTAAAATTGGTCTGTTTTTGCAACCAAACACATTTGACCTATTGATGGAAGTTTTATTTTCCACAGGTGAGAAACCTCTTCCTCTTAAAACAGCATTGCAAAAAAAGAGGAGTTACGGCAATGCATTTCATCATCCCAGTGCTGTACGATTACAAGAGAGTGATTCTTTAGCCACCAGCATTGATCCAAAAGAAGATCACAATTACAGTGCAAGTAGCATGGCAGCACAGCGTTGTGCATCCAGGTCTAGCGTGTCTTCCCTGTCTTCTGTAGATGAGGTATATGAATTTATCCCAAAGAATAGCCATGTGGGAAGTGATGGCAGTGAAGGATTTCACAGTGAAGAAGATACAGATGTTGATTATGAAGATGATCCTCTTGGAGACAGTGGCTATGCATCACAGCCTTGTGCAAAAATCTCTGAAAAAGGGCAGTCAGGCAAAAAGATGCGAAAACAGACATGTCAAGAAATTGATGAGGAGCTCAAAGAAGCAGCTGGATCTCTGCTCCACCTTGCTGGAATTCGTACATGTTTAGGTTCCCTAATAAGTACTGCAAAGACGCAAAATCAAAAGCAACGGAAAAAATAGAAATACTTAAAGTGTGGCAATACTCTTTCACTTAATTCTTTACAAGGGATATCAAAGCCATAATGGACTTCATTAGTTTTAGGGTAGGGAAGGGATACGAATTACTTATTTCTTTCAAAACATTTTTGGTTTTTGGTTTTTAAAATTTTTATTAAACAATTGCTGTTAGGATCATGCCTGATCAGAAATATATGATGTGAAGTCCTGAAAGCATAATTTTTGTGGTGTCTCCAAGATTTGGAAATTTTTGTATAAGAAAATCCGCAGCCTCTGTCTTAAACTTGTGGGACAAAAATCCTTTCTTCTGTTAATATGTCAGAATGTAAGATTTGGCAACTCTGTAAATTTTTTTCATTTTCTTTTCCAATCTGTAACTATAGTTACTGAACCAGCTAAAAATTTTGCTAATGTACTTTTCATATACTTCTCTCCTGACACACAATCCGGTAACATAAGATTGAAATTTTTTTACTTTGTTTTAATTTGTTTTTAATTTTTTTTTTTTGTTGTGGTGTGGGCAAAGACAAACATAAATTGTAAAACATCCTGATGTTTAGAAAAAGTTTCTTTTGGTTACATAGGTAGAGAATGCAACAAAGAGTTCTAAGGTTTAAAAAAGACAATTTTGTGGTGTTATTTCATCCAAGAACACTCCCAATTCCTATTACAATGGTAGCTTTGAAGTGTTTTTACTTCACAGATACTGCATAGCATTTATTGGGGCCTTTTATTCTTGCCCAAAGTGCTTTGCAAACATTAAGTTTTAGCCACTAGCTGCCTTTGTTGAGTATAAGTTATCCAATGAGAGTATATAGCCAATTAAGTGTGTTATGGAGTACACCCATTTTGACACACTTGTAATAAGAGAATCTTTCATTTGCCTGCCACATGTACTGCATTCTGAGAATCTTGTAATAGGAATGGAGTGTAATGAAACATTCTGAGTACTAATTGCATATGTATCATAAAGTAGGTCATTTAGGAAAAAACTTCTGTCCAAGCTTTGTATGAATTAAATTTATAAGTATAACAAATTAAATTTTAATAGATTTAATGCAATTTTGCAAACAAAATTACCTTCATGAATTTCAAAATTCATATAAAATTAGATCTTATACAATACACCCTTTTGAGGAGGCAGTGTAATAACCTATAGTGCCATTGATCCATGAGAAAAAGATTTTCTGGTACTACTCCAAAAGTGCTTTGACTGAGTGTCTTATTTGAACAGTCTGCTTATATGAGACAGCTTTTCATAGTATCATTTGTATAATTTGATTAGATTATTCAGAAACAACAGGATGCTAAACTACACTTATTCATTCTATCTTTTTTTTTTTTTTAACAATGATGGAAGCAACTTTCCAGAAGTTCAGTCTTATGCTACATCCTAAGTCATAGACAATGAACTTGTTTTCATCATTCTGATAGATTGTATACATATGTACACATACATACACACATACACAGTCAAGGTCATGATGTTGATTTGCTGTTTTCAGCTGTTTCTATGATTATAAAGTATTTTTTAAGAGACAGATATTTTAACTTTTAATTTTTATTTTGGCAAAACTGTCAAATGAGAAAAATGATTTTAAAAACTTTTTTTCAATTGACAAGACTTTAAGTCAGGGATAACAGTATTAATGTTCTCTGTTCCGTTTCCATGTTTAATTTAACCTGGATAGCCACATTAATGAATTGGTGCTATCAAAATATAGTAATTTTTAAATTTGTTAATAATGAAAAATAACCCTTAAGCATGCAGGATGAGGTATTTGGGTTTTTTCTTTATATCGATCACATCTACAGAAAATGGCTAAACCAAGTTAACTTTTATTATAGACAGTGAATAAAACACCAAAAACCCAAAAATGCTTTAACCACAGTGTAAATAATAAAGAGATTACACTCATCATTTTAATAACTGTTTTTAAGTTTTTACCATGGCCTTCTGGATAGACCTTAGAAACAGTGTTTCAGTAATCTGGCACCAATTTATTTTGTTCTGCTGAAATTCTGTATCACAAATGTGCTACCTGGTTTCTGTCCATAAGATAATTACTCTTTCTTTATAAGAAAAGGAAAGTGATCTAAGAGAAGCAGAGTTAGTTCCAGCTTTAATAGGGATCTTCAAAGTTATTTTATTTTGTCTTGATGTATGTAACAGTAATTCTTTACATCTTTTGATTTTTCTCTTTTATTCACTCTTCCCACGAATTTACATGTTTAAGTTATATTCATCACTAGCAAGGACGATAAACACTTCTGCACTGAAAGCTAACAGGGAGAGATTACACAATATTTTACAGTTTCTTAAACTTAATTTAGTGCATCACCTTCCACTTGCTAACATACCAAGCCAGTTATTTTCCAGGGGAAGCACCTTTTAAATTGTGGTCCTCCAGTTACTACTTCCATTGAGATCATGCTCTCATTCCTCAGGTGTTTTGAGAAACATGACTAATAACCATATAATTAAGTAGAATCATTCCAAGTCCTATGGCCTGGAAATTGTATTCCCGATAATACACAAGTTTTCCTGTAATAAAGTCAATTTGGAAACTCCAAGGTGATTACATGTTTTCCAATATATCCTAAAACTGTGATATAAGCTAACATATATTTTGCCTTACGTCAAAAGAATATGTTCTGTTGCAGCTGATTCCAGTTTATAATAGATCCCTAGTAAAAAACTTTGATTCAGCACGATTGTTCATCTTCACATCCCAAACAGAATCAGTGTTTCTTGAATATATATTTTTGAAGTTTTTTGTGCAATATATTACTAAATCAGTTATTATTTTACTTTTCAAATTCAGAGAAAGAAAACAGATTACCTGAATTCATGGAAAAGGTGGATCACCTCCCTTTTTCCACCTTCAAAGCTTTTCCTGTCCTCATAGCCAGCATGACTTCTTTTAACTTGGATTCCTTTGTATATAGTAAAGTTTAGTATATATATTTTTTCTTTTGCTACTTTTGGAGGCATTATGTAAAGGGCTCATACTAGATGTTCAGTTAAATATGCTTTAGCACAAAGTCAAACTAGAGAATGTGTTAAGGAGGGAATGTATGTATCTTGGTAGACCAGGAGGCCTTTCCCAGCAATTTAAGCAACAGATGTGAATACTTCACAAAGCTGTAAAGACCATTGTCTTAAATACTGCAACAACTTAACACCCTTTTGTGAAGATCATAGCATTTATCTAAGAAACTTTGAGGCTTTCTGGTTTACATATATCTTACAGGTTTTTTTTTTTTTTAGTTTGAAATGTGTAAGCTTTGATTTAAAGCAAGTTTACTTCAGTATGTTAATGATGTAGTAAAAATATTTATTGAAAGGCGAATTAGAGTATTTTAATGTTATACCTGCCATTTTTTTCTTAAAGCATATTCTTTGCATCTAACTGCCAGTGCCATTGTCAAAACTTATTTTTTAAATCGTTGTACATTTCTTATTAAACTAAGTGCTTAGTTTTAAAGTATTATGTTGCCATCATATAGTATATAAAAATGTATAATTGCCAATTGATTGTTAACTATTATTTATTTTTAAATGAAAGTGTAAGAATGCTTTCTGATTCAACAAATCTGTTATCAAACTGTTTCCTTATCCTCTTTTCTGATGTAGCATAAAAATTGTTCCGGTTTGAGTTATAACTGCCAGTAGATGACCAGTCACAAGTGAACCACTTTTCAGTTGCCAGTCTTTGCTCATATTAAAAACAACTTACAAATGCTTAGTTTTTGTATCTAATCTCTGATTATTAAAATGTTTATAAAGTTTATTTTTACCAAAGAGATGCAATTCATTATGACAAAGTATTGCATAATAAATTTGTTTTATAACATTTTTTTGTGGTCTGATCTTTTGTAGGATAGGGTGGGGACAGGAGAAGGGTGGTAGGGCAGATGTGATGGCTTATACTTCTACACACACTTTCCATCCAAATTGGAGTCAGGGAAATGAAAAATACAGTTAAATTTCAAAAAAAATTTTTTAAGTTTTTTTTAATGGTTTTTAGATGTTATCTTAATTATTGAAAGCTAAAACAACATTAATTAAATTACTGTCTTCCTAAAGTTGAACTTCTTTTCCTGTTAATTTACATGTATCTGAAATATTTTGAAATATAACTGGGGAAAAATGGAGTAGAATATGAAACCAGCCTGGCCAATGTGATGAAACCCCATCTCTACTAAAAATACGAAAATCAGCCAGGTATAGTGGTGAACGCCTGTAATCCCATCTACTCAGGAGGCCGAGGCATGAGAATTACTTGAACCCGGGAGGCGGAGGTTGCAGTGACCTGAGATCCCACCACTGCACTCCAGTCTATGTGACAGAGTGAGACTCCGTCTCAAAAACAAAAAAAGTCATCAAGAGCTTTATGCCAATAAATTCAACCACTTTGGTGAATTAGAAGGCAACAATAAGAAAACCCAATCTAAAAATGGGCAAAATACCTGAACGGACACCTCACCAGAAAAGATAACAGATCACACTCATTGATACTTACCCAAATGAGTTGAAAACATGTCTAAACAAAAACCTGCACACAATTGTTATAGCAGCATTGTTCATAATTGCCAAAACTTGGAAGCAAATCAGAAGTCCTTCAGTAGGCAAATGTATAGACTGGTACATCCAGACAGCAGACTATTATACAGCAATTTTTTAAAAAGCTATCGACATCCCAAAGAAGATATACAAATGGTCAAAAAGAACATCAAAAGATCCTCAACGTCGCTAATTATTAGGGAAATGCAAATTAAAATCACAATGAGATACCAACTCATATCCATTAGAATGGCTACTATTAAAAGGTTAAAAACACCACCAAAACTAAATGACAAGTGTTGGCAAGGATTGGAACACTTGTGCAGCCACTACAGAAAGCAGTATGGAATTCAAAATAGTACAGTCACTGAAAAGCAGTATGGAAGTTCCTCAAGAAATTAAAAATAGACCAACAATTTTACTTCTGGGCACATACCCAAAAGAATTGAAAGCAGGTTCTCAAAGAGATATTTGTCTACCCATGTTTAGAGCAGCATTATTCACAATAACCAAAAGGTGGAAGGTACACAAATTTTCATCAATAGATGAATGAATAAAATATGGCACATACAATGGATTATTATTTCACCTCAAAAGGGAAGGGAGTTTTGACGCAAGCTTTACAACATGGATGAAACTTGAAGACATTATTCTAAGTGAAACCAATCAGAAAAAGAAAAATACTGTATGGTACCTACAGTAGTCAAACTGATAGAAACAGAAAGGAGAAAGATGTTTGCCAGGGGCTGGAGGAAAAGGGGAATGGGGAGTTGTTTAATGGGCATGGAATTTTGAGTTTTGCAAAATGAAAGAGATGTAGAGATTGTTTGTACAACAGTGTGAATATACTTAACACTATTGAACTGTACACACAAAAATAGTAAATGTTGTATATATTTTACCACAATTAAAAAAACAAAAACGAAAAAATGAGACATCAAGCTATGATGGAAATTTAAACACGTATTACTAAGTGAAAGAAGCCAGTCTTTGACTTAGTTGAAAGGTTCACTTACTGAGCCTTAGAAGGCTCATTTCTGTGATTCCAACTACAATCTTGTATCGCTTACCAACAGGAATACCTTCTGAGAAAAGTGTCAGGCAATTTTCTTATTGTGGGAACATCATAGGGTGTACTTACACAAACTTAGGTGGTATGGCCTACTACACAACTAGACTATATAGTGAACAGCCTATAGCCCATAGGCTACAAATCTATGCAACATGTTACTGCCCCAAATACTGTAGACAGTGGTAACGCAATGGTATTTGTGTATCTTAACCATATCTACACATAGAAAAGATACAGTAAAAACACAGTATAAAAGATAAAACATGGAACACCTATATAGGGAACTTATCATGAATGGAGCTTGCAGGACTGGAAGTTGCTCTGGGTGAGTCAGTGAGTGTGAGTGGTGAATGTGAAGACCTAGGACATTACTGTACACTACTGTAGACTTTATAAACACTACTCTTAGGCTATACTAAATTCATTTTAAAATTTTTTCTTCAATAGTAAATTAACATTATTTTACTGTAACTTTATAAACTTTAAATTTTTTTTAACTTTTTGACTCTTTTGTAATAACACAGCTTAAAACACAAACACATTGTACAGCTGTACCAAAATATTTTTTCTTCATGTCCTATAAGCTTTGTTCTATTCAAGTTTTTCTTCTTACTTTTTAAACATTTTTCTTAAAAACTAAGACACAAACACACACATTATCCTAGGCCCACACAGGGTCAGGATCATCAATATTACTGTCTTCCACCTCCACATCTTGTCCTACTGGAAGGTCTTCAGGGGCAATAATATGTATGGTGCTATTATCTCCAATAATAGCAATACCTTTTTCTGGAGTATCTCCTGAAGGACCTGAGTTTGTTTTACAGTTAGCTTTTCTTTTTTTTAATAGGAGTATACTGTAAAATAATGGTAAAAAGTAGAGTAAATATATAAACCAATAGCATAGTCATTTATTTTCAAGTATACTCTACCTTATTGTATGTGCTATACTTTTATATGACTGGTAGTGCCGTAGGTTTGTTTATACCAGCATCACCATAAACACAGAATATATTATTACAATATGAGGGTTAAGACATCACTAGGTGATAGGAATTTTTCATCTTCATTATGATTTTATGGGACTGCTGTCGTCTATGTGGTCTGTCCTGGCCTTTGACCAAAACATCATTATGCAGCTCATGGCTGTATATGACATTCTAGAAAAAACAAAACTATGGAGACAGTAAAAAGATCGGTAGTTACCAGGGGTTGTGGGGGAGCATGGGCTTTTTAGGGCAGTAAAACTATCCTTTATGATACTGTAATGATGTATATATATCATTATACATTTGTCAAAACCCACAGAAATTAAAACCAGACAGAGCGAACCCTAATGTAAACTACGGATTTTAGTTACTAGTGATGTATTAATATTGGTTCATCCATTGTTGTAAGTGTACCACACTAATGCAAAACATTAATAATAGGAGAAACTGGGGCTGTGGTAGAGGGCACAAAGGAGAGTATAAGAGACCTCTTGCTACTTTCCACTCAATTTTTCTGTAAACCTAAAACTCCTCCCAAAAAATTAAGTCTATTAATTAAAAAACAAAACCTAAAACAAAACTGGCACTTGAAAGTACTTCCAGTGGCCAAAGCTAGAACAATATGAGCACCAAAATAAAAATGCAGTCTTCACTGGGTGCAGTGACTCACACCTGTAACCCCAGCACTTTGGGAGGCCGAGGAGGGCAGATCACAAGGTCAGGAG